TTTGAATCACTACAGAGGAACGAAAACATCATACTACCGGCTGACAAAGGTAATGCGACTGTAGTGATGGACAAATCGGATGGTACTTCCTTGGGAAGACCTCATTAGCAATGGTAGCTACAGCATAGTGAAGAAAGATCCTACTATGAAAACGGAACGCAAACTGTCACAGATCCTCATCAAGAACAAGGATCATTTCGCACCCAAGACGTATAGGCAGTTATCGCAGCGTTACACCAAGCTACCTCACATATACGGTCTCCCTAAGATTCACAAAGACGGTATTCCACTCCGGCCGATTGTTAGTTGCCAAGGCTCTGTGTGCCATCCTCTGAGTCGCTTCCTTGTAGATATAATTGACCCATTGATCGGAAAGTCTCCTTCATATGTCCGAAATTCCACCCACTTCGTGGAAATAATCAAAGATGCTCCCATCCTATCCAACCAGATGGTGAGCTTGGACGTGGTGAGTCTGTTCACCAAGGTACCCACAGAGGAGGCACTCTCAGTAGTCAGAGATAGATTGACCTCTGACTCTTCCCTAGAGGAGCGGACCGGCATTCCAATAGATAATCTGATGGAGATGTTGACTTTCTGTACACAAACAACATACTTCGGAATGGGATCTCACATATATCGACAGGATGAGGGCTTAGCAATGGGCTCGCCATTATCACCAGCAATGGCGAATATATATATGGAATACTTTGAAGAAATGGCATTAGAGTCTATATCGCTAAAGCCAACTATATGGTTACGGTACGTAGATGACACCTTCATACTCTGGCAACATCAGGAAGATGTCCAAGTTCTACTGGATCATGTGAACTCAATAAGACCTTCAATACAGTTCACAATGGAGAAAGAGAGTAACAACTCACTCCCATTCCTGGATGTAATAATATCTCGAACAGAGCATGGGTTCAAGACATCCGTATACCGTAAACCAACATTCACCGGACAGTACCTCAATTTCGACTCCCACCATCCATACAGCGTAAAGAAAGGGATCGTCCGATGCTTACAACACCGAGCAAAAGTCATAAGTGGCGATCCAGAGACGTTAGATAAGGAATTGGTCAGTATAAGTAGTACCCTACAACGTAACAACTACCCTGGGTACATGGCAGCAGCCCCCAAAAACTGGGATAGGCGGGTACAAGAGGAGGAGGAGGAGGAGGACAACAACACTCAGAAAACAGTCTGCCTGCCTTATGTGAAGGGGTTATCAGAGAAAATACAAAGGATCTGCGGTCCATATAACATCAGGACAACCTTCAAAAGCATGACAACACTTCGCAGGTATCTCTCACAAGTGAGAGCCCCCACAGAGAGGAACATGACTAAAGACTGTGTGTACGCTATCCCGTGCAGCTGCGGAAAGGAATATAAAGGAGAAACAGGCCGCCCCCTCAAGGTAAGGCTTCAAGAACACCAGAAATCTGTAACGAGAGGGAAGTAGAAAAAATCAGGCGTGGCTGACCACGTATGGAGAGAGAAGGAGATCACCGCCCCTGTGGGATCATGTTGAAATCATAGATAGGGAACACCATTGGAAAATTCGTAAACTTAAGGAATCAGCACATATGCTAGGCCAGAAAAATCTCCTGAGCCGACCAAGCATAGAAATAAATACAATATGGGAACCAGTAATAAGGAGTGCCAGAGAAAAGCAATGATAACAAAGTTGCAATATGAACTCTGGTAAAGACATGCAATGATAACAACAAAAATTGCAATATGAGCACTGGTAAAAATGATGCTGAAAACATTAGGTTTATAATACTCAGAAGTTCCTCAAGGACACATGGCACAGTGGATAAAGGCGTTGGTTAGATCCAGTGATAGACCCAAAGAAGGTGAGTTCAATTCCTGGTTAAGGCAGTGGAGAACTTTCAGAGGGAAAATTAGCAGGAGATAACTGATAACTGACATCCATCAAACATGGCACGTGGAACTAGAACAGTCTACCCCAGTGATCGAAATAAAGGGTTCGGTTCGAAATTCCTACCACCTGAAGAAGGCCGAAACGTTGTGACAAATATGGCGACAAAGATGAGGACAAAAGTCCGACTAATGTAAATACTGTACATAATACCTCATCTCAGAAATATAGACAGACTCTATCATGTTTCCCCAATGTTATCCAGAACCGGGAGCAATTTTATAAAAATCCATCCAGGAACCAAAATGTCACAAAACAAAGAAACAATTACATGATTAATTTATATTTTGAAAAAAAGTTTAGCATTTTTTGATACTCCCAAATCATCTTGCTTGACTGACAGTGTTATACTAATTGCAGAAATTATCACTTTAGTTCTAAAAGAGCACATCAGCTAAGAGCAGATGTGTAGAATGCATGGTGTGTGTATTCAGTAAGTTTTACCGCCATCAATTCACCACAGGAAAGTTCATCCTGGGGAGTGTTCACCATAAAAACATAAAAATCAAACAATTTTTAATTGGTTCTAATTTTCTTGATCAACGAATCTAAAACATTTTTAAAATAGGGTAAAAGTAAATAATAACTGATATTATGCATTTTATTTTGATTAATTTAATAATTAAAACTTGGGTTTCAAATAACTGATATTATGCATTTTATTTTGATTAATTTAATAATTAAAACTTGGGTTTCAAATAACTGATATTATATGCTATTGCTCTCAAGTAATGAAGGATACAATTATCTTCATTGTAATTTAAGATGAGCCTTTGAATTTGCCCAGAAGTAACATAGGCTTTCTGTCTCTCTTTTTAAAAAAAAAAAAAAAAAAAAAAGGTGCTTCCCAGACAGACACTATTCAATTATTACTTCAGTTAGCCTTTGTTCATTTTTAATGCAATTCAAATATTGGGATGACAAGTCATTTACTCTTCCAGGGCCTGTTTAGCTATTATGGAAATTTCTAGATTCAGATTATATTTATATTAATTCTAAAAATCTAATGAATTTATATGGTGATGTTTCTGCACGGTTAACATTCCTGTAAACCATGACACGTCCCTAAAGAACAATATTATAGAAAAATGTATGATGATTAGTGAACAAACTCACCATGTCCAGGCACATCATCTGGCTGGATTGGATGCATATTTTGATTATTGAAGGAAGCACTGTTGATAGTCAGGGATAGACCAGCCTCAGACTCATCTCTAGAACATAGCAGTATACCAATGGATAAACTGATAGAGATGCTGACTTTCTGTACACAAACAACATTTTCTGAATGAGATCAGATATATAAAGATAGGATGAAGGCTGTATATTGACATATATCAGACATATATTGACAGAATTAAAATTTATATATCATATTCTCCCAGGACAGAACATGTGCATATGATAAGACTGGATTTCAAATGCATCAAATTTTACTACTGACGTTTCTTTCAGAAAAAGTTTAACATTTTTGATAAAGGGTAGCTACATTTTAAACTAAGGCTAGAGAAAGTAAAACTTTATGACTAAATTTTATTTAAAAGTTCTCAATAAAAATCTTGCTGATATGGTTTCAGAAAAGTAATCCAATATTATTCAAATTTTACATTTGAAAAACTCACAAAACTGGCCTGAAATTAGTACACAAATCCAAATCAAGTTTTAGAGATGTAAAGGAATAAAAATCCTATGTCTATAGAGTATCCAAAAGTTAAAATTGATTTAAAAGCTTACAAAAATGGGAATAATTGTAAACGTGTGAAAAAGAAAATAAATTATGAGATTCTAATGAGCTGGATGTATGGAAGTTCTATGAATGTTGGCAATTAAGAGTTTTCATTATCTCATGTTTCTGCTCTGTATCTTCTCATTCTCTCCCTTATCCTTTCCAATCTTTATGGCCCATCCATGTTTTCATCTAAATGTTATATAAACATAGTTTGTTAGTCTCTAATGCAAGAATGGTTTCAAAGTTTTTATACCTTTCTGTCCCTAGCTGCCTTTCAACTGTTCACTCAGGTCTCTTGTAAAAGTAAGCCTGTCTGTCTATTTTTCAGCTTCCCCCTTTCCCTACATCAATTTTTTTGTTTGATTTTCTCTTGAACTTGAAGTATTCTGAAGGAATCTGGGTTGGACAGATACTACACTTTGATACTTGGTAGAAAGTATAACAATCATACACATAATATAAAAGAATAAAATAGGTATTAAATTTGAAAAATCCTTTGTGGCTTTTGAGATATCTTGTATTAAAATGTTTTTGCCTTTCTTATTTTTAATCATATGCTTTTTAATTTTAAAAAAGAAAGAAATAAAAAGATTGAGAAGAAAAAATAAAAAGTAGAAAATAGCTAAAGAAAAAATAAGACATTTGAAAAGACAAGTTTCTCTTTAGAATATAAAAACTGTTTATTAGCAAAAAAAAAAACAAAACAAAAAAGACTTTGGAAAGTTCTTTACATAGTCAAGATAAGCAAAAAACTTTCAACTGAAATGGTTTTATAAAAAATAAAACTAAGTAAAAATAACTTACATTATTACTTTTAAATACCATAATCACCAAAGTGTACTGTGGTTTTATTCATGGTAATTGTGCAAACTATAACATTACAAAACGTCTTACTTGTTATTTTTGCATTTATAAATCTGAGAAAGTAAAAAGACAGCTTTCAACAGATAGAAATTATACATTCCAAAGAATGTACTAATATATGTAGTAACTTAAAACAGTAATAATTACCTGAAAACAACAAAATACAAATTAAATCAGTAACTTGCACTGTTGTTTCTTTGAAATGTTAAAAAATATTCATAAAAAAAATTATTTTTAATTTGTACAATTTCTGATTGTTAAAATAATTATAAAAAGTTAATTAACTTTTTTTTTTAAAAGTAATTTTGCGACATATATATTTTTAAAAAATTAATCTCTTATAGATAAGGCATATAAAAGAATAAAAAATAAGTTTGTAAGTTTATTAAAAGGCAGAGAGGTGTAAGAAATTATTGGTCTGTTTTTAGACGGAATAAAATTAAATTATCACAGTTGTGTAGATCAAAGGCTTTCAATGCATATGGCAATTCCCATGCCTCCCCCAATACAAAGGGCAGCAACACCTTTCTTTTGATTTGTGCGTTTCATGTTATACAATAAGGTAACAAGAATCCGTGTACCAGATGCAGCAAGTGGATGTCCAAGGGCAATTGCACCTCCACTAATATTTACCTGAAAGAAATGAAAAGTTGAAATGTAGAGAAACTTAATAAATATTAAAATTCAATTTTCTGTGTAATAAAACATTTTGTCAATGTATGTGATTTTATAATGCAAGTCAATATTTTCACAATAGAATTTGTATTAACTAAACAATATTAGAAAAATAATAAATGAATTATTTGATAACTACAAATTTCAGTTTATATGTTTTTATTGGAATTATTTACAATAATCTATTTAGTGATATGACATTATGCAATTTAATGACTGTTTATCATATTGTAAATAGAATTCCTGACACTTGAACTAATTAAGACTTTGTTGTCATTAGCCAAGCTCATTGAAACATAACACTCCCAATTTTTGACAACAATTTTATGATCATCAATTTTTTGTGCAAAAATTACTATGCCTGCTCCTGTGATCATAACCAATCTGTAATGGGACTTTTTTTTTTTTTTTTATTTTAATGACTCAAGATAAAACACAACGAGACTCCAATTGTGCATCAACAATAAAATATATATTGAAACAATAACATACAAAACAATCATGCAAGTTGCTTCCCTTGAACTGTATTCTGATTAAGATTGAATGTTCAAAAGAGTTTCTCTTGAATAAGAATGTTCAGGATTCTATGTTGAATAGAGTCTGGTGTTAGAAAAGAATACAGTTAATTAAGAAGTGTGTTGTTTTGAGTAAGAGAGAGTTCTGGTTCATGAACTTGGCATAGTCACAGAGAGGAAGAATGTGTAATGTAATACAAAATCTGTGTCTGTGAGCTCTTGAAGATTACATCTTGGCAGCAAGGAAAAAGATGAATGAAGAGGAACATGAGAGAGGCTTATTCGTGTTTTGTTTATATAAGGCTGTGTATCACGTGGTAGGCTCCGAAGCTTGTTCGTCGGGAAAATTATTCCTCATGTGCCGGCAATTTGATTGGTCGGAATTGACCAATCAGCAAGCTAGTTTTGAGGAGATCAGCCAATGAATGCTTGCCGTATGATCTGTATGTATGTATGTATGTGTGTGTGTTATGGCGATGATGATCACTACAAATCAAATGGCATTTTAAACAGATAACAATCTGAGCCACCTTTTTGCATAAAAGGGAAAGAATTCTAAAACTCCAGTTAGATGCAAACATATCATAGCATAGCCACACATTTATCTCAAAGTAACTTGAAAATCATCGAACTGTGAAACTAGTAAAGTTACTGTAAATATTTTTATAGACTGCAGTTGTATTTTCAAGTGCTTTTTCTTTGAAAATTGAAAACATTAGTAAGGTAAGAACAAGTAAAAGAAACTAACTTTAAGAAAGTTACGAAAAGAAATTTGAGAAAAATTAAAAATGTAATAAGCAAGAAAAGTGGATTGAACAGCAAAAAAAATTTGAAGAAATTTGTGTTGCAAATGTAAAAAGATAAAGAAAGATGCAGAATATTAAATACACTGGATAAAAAACAGGAAAGAAACAAAACTAATATCTGTAAGTAAATGTCATAAAGGGAAAGATTTGATAGCAACTTTTAGTGATGAATGTAGAGCTACATTGGATGAACCTGATAGATGGACAAGATGTTGAATCTTCATGAAGATTATCAACCAGCATGACTTGGAAGATGACAGAGAATGTGGTAGTATTGGTAGAGTAGTTGTAGGCTATAAAATTATAGGTTACTTCAAGATAAATGTACAGAATTATGATGTTCTTGAAGACATTTTTAGGTAACACAGATCACAACTAAGATACTTTAAGCCAAAATGTATATTCATGTAAAATAATACGTTTTTCACATTCTAAATAACTACTGTCCATATTGTCAAAAAAAAGTTTCAAAGACACCAAATTAATGGCTCAACCTCTCAAGATAGTAATACAATAAAAAACTTGTGGCCTATCATTAAGTGATATATATAAGAATGGTAAACACTATTCAAGCAAAGATCATCCCTTAGAAGCAATAAAAACTGTTGCATGCAATATTAAAATCAAGAGCAGAAAATTTATCAATGGATGAAGGCTATAAAATGTCAAGGATTTCATATTAACATGTAAAATAGTAAAAAAAAAAATTAAAAAAATAATTTATTCAGGTATGTGAGATATTACATTAAATGTGTTTCTATGGTATGGAATTATTTATAAATAAAACCCTATGCTGAACACTCTTTGCATAATAAAACCAGACACCTACAAACAAGTTATCAATATTTAAGTATTTTATCAAGTATAGATAAACTGAAACTCCCAAAATACAGGGTGCAATGGATAAATTGTTGTCTAAATTATGCAAAAATGAAAATAACATTGATATCTCATTTTAAAACATATTTACCAAAATTAAAACAAAAATATTTTGAAATATCAAAGAGTAAATTTATTCAAAAAAAAAAAAAAAAAAAAAAAAAATTGCCATTGGTTTTAACCATGGCCTTCAGATTACTTTAGAATCTCCTGCAATTCTTCTGAACAGGTGAATGCGGCTATAATCCTTGCCTTCAGTTCATCTTTGGTGTTACAAGGAGTTTTGTTGGTCTCTCACATAAATTGTGCCCCATACATAATAGTCAAGGGAGTTGAAGTTTGGAGAGTTAGGTGGTCAGATGTAAGAGGTGATGTGGTCACAGAAATTGTCTGGCAGCCATGAATGGGTTCTCCTGCTTGTGTAGCATGGTGCAGAGTCCTGTTGCCATACATGGAGTCTTCCAGCAGCCACCCTCTTGACCCAGAGCAGTACTACCTCCTTGATGTATGTCTTCGTGTTGAGTCTGAGGCTCTCACCAACAACTAGAACGATCAAAGCAAGTTTTCCAAGCTGCTATAGCTTTGTAATCACTATTAGACTCATCCAACTCTTTCTGGATCTTCTGCACTGTCCTCAGATTGACACCCCAAAACTCTGAAATGTTTGTATTGGAACTTCGGGTACAAATGCCAAGTATTACAGCATGCCATTTCCAAATTTCTGGCAGAGTGAATTGCATCATGGTGCTCTTTTTCTCACAGACACTGCCCAACTCACCCTACTTTAATGTGTAGTTGACAAAATCAAAAATAATGTGCATGTGCAAAATTAAAAATATAAAATGGTGACAATTTACCCATCGCACCCTGTATATTGCTCATCTCAATATAAGTATAGTTTGAGAATTTAATGAACATAGGTTGGTAAATACCAATTTTAGTATAAAAATACTGACTTGCTTAATAAAATCTGACCTTCTATGCTATTTAGTTTGTCAGTAATGCTTGCATTTTCCGATTTTAAATGCATAACTTGCTAAAAATAAAAAAAAATAAAATTAAAAATTGCAAAATGTGCTCTCTAAGCAATGTCCCTGACATCAATATTTGGTTTGTTTTGTTTTACAGCATATTAACCTCAATGGGTTATTTAATGCTGACAATTTTTATTGCTGGTAATATTTTTTTTTTCTTTTTCAAAAATGTATTGCTGGTAATATGTTTTTCTTCAAAAAATGTACCTCTGCTAATATTTTTTTAAAAAAATGTATAGCTGGTAATTTTTTTTTTTTTTTCAAAAATGTATAGCTGGTAATAATGTATTGCTGGTGTTAATTTTTTTTACAAAGTGTTTCTGGTATTAAAACCTATTTCTTACACTTTCATAGTGTTTTGACCCCAGTTTGTTGGAGGGGGGTTTAACTATTTGCCCATAGCTGGGACCCTAACAGATGCTACCACACTGGGTCAAGGTGGACCTGGGAACACCAGCAGTTAAGAGGTGGTTCCACACTCTTCAAAACCTCCTGATCAGAGGCCTTGCGGTCGGACGTAATGTATCATCCTACCCAGGACGGTCAATATTTTGACTAAGTTTTCTAGCTGAACACATGTATTAAGTATTTGATTTATCTGTTCCTGTACTAACTGACATTTACTTTCTTCCCATTGTTTTGTATGGAGTCACTATACACATAAACATAAGTGAAATAAAGATTAGAAATATTTATTTAAATAAATCCTACTCATATCATGCGTTAAAAAGACCAGTTTTGATAACTGTCAAGCCATGTTTATATAAACAATATAGTTTTGAACAAGTTTTAACATTCAGATGCACAACAGATCATCATCATCATCACTATCTGTTCTTTGTTATAACAGAGACAATGCTCTAAAGAAGAAATTATAAGAAATTAAAACATTTGAGTCTATAAAATTTACCTTTCACAATTTAATAAGGGAAAATATTTTAATACATTTCATGCATTCATTTACATATATGAAGAAATTACTTTATATACAAGCAATTGCTGGATACAAATGAAATCCGTTCCTAAGTTGAATTTATACATAAACTGGAGCAAAAGTGTGTGTATGTGTATATTTTAGCACTAAATGGTTGATTGTTTTTTATGGCTTATCAACCCTTCGAAGGTTATTTTAAGCCAGAAAATATTTTTAGGTTGTAATAATTTTATTTTTTTGAGATAATAATGGTTTAGTGATACAAGTCTAGGTTTGGTTTGTTTTACAGCATATCAGCCTCAATGGGTCATTTAATGCAGACAACTTTTTTTTTTCTGGTAATATTTTTGTTTTGTCAAAAATCTATTTTTGTTAATATTTTTTCCTCAAAAATGTATAGCTGATAATATTATTTTTCCAAAAACACATAGCTGTTAATATTATTTTTTCAAAAATGTATAGCTGGCAACATTATTTTTTCAAAAACATATTATCAGAGGCCCTGTTGTTAGACATAGTTTATCGTCATACCCAGGACGCGGATATAGTTTATCGTCCTACCCAGGACGCGGATGTAGTCTGAGTGTTAACTATTTGCCCATAGCTGGGACCCTAACAGGTACTACCACCCTGGGTCAGGGTGGACCTGGGAACACCAGCAATTAAAAGGTCGTTCCACGCTCCTCAAAGCCTCATGATCAGAGGCCTTGCTGTTGGATGCAGTTTATTGTCTTACCCAGGACATGGATGTAGTTTATTGTCATACCCAGGACAAGATCTGGGTTTGGGCATTAACTATTTGCCCAGAGCTGGGACCCTAACAGGGGCTACCACCCTGAGTTAGGGTGGACCTAGGAACACCAGCAATTAAGAAGTGGTTCCACACTCCTCAAAACCTCCTGATCAGAGGCCTTGTTGTTGGACGTAGTTTATCGTCTTACCCAGGACACGGATGTAGTTTATTTCATACCCAGGACGAGATACAAGTCTAATTAACTCATAGCTGGGGGGAAGAAGGGGGGTGGGGGGAGAATTCAAACTTTTTCCAAGGGTATTTGCATATAAGTGAATATAACAAACCCTGCTTGAATTGGAACTTGGCTCTCCGATTAATTAGCCATTATCCATTACATCACCTGAGCCATTATCCATTACATCACCTGCATGTCCAAGCTTACAGCACCTGGTATTCCCAAGTGGCTACCCATCTAGGTACTGATCAGACTCAATGTTGCTTAACTTCAGTGATCATATGGGAACTGGTATTTAAACATGTAGCCGTAAACCTGCACTAAATGGGAAGAGTTTTCAAATTTAGTATGCATACTTACTAGACCCAGGGGAAGGTTTTAATTAATAATAAAAAAAATTTCCTCATTGGGAAGGGGAGGGGGTTCTACTTTTCAGCTATTTTGATTTATGTTTCATAATGATAACCATTACTCTTATTAATTTCTGGATAACAAAAAAATATTTTCGCATTTTGGAAAAGCAATATCAATGATGAATTTTTCTTGCAAAATATATCTACTTTTCATGGTATTTATTCATTGGTAATGTATTTGTGTCATACATTTCACTTGACACATCAGGTGGATGTGAGTACTAAGAAAGCAACCCCCCCCCAAAGCCACCACCTTCTGCACAGGGACTGATCCACAAAACAATTCCCACACCTCGCCAACAACAGGCAGTTTGGTTCAACACCTCAACCTTACCACTAGACTGCCAGAACATCCACACAAATCATTGGAGTTGATTTCTATCTTGATGATAGATGTATCAGCCCTACCAACAACAGCCCATGGCTTCTATAATTCACTCCAGGCCTCTTTGCGGATACCAACTGTGACCTCAGTCAAATAACCTAACAAATCTGTCAACTCCAAGTCTTACAATTGACACCGTTACACCTAATTGCTTTCCTTACCAGCAACAACTAAAGATCCACATATCAATGATTTTGTCACCTTAAATCAAATAACCTAACAAATCTGTCAACTCCCAGTCTTATCAATGACACCCTTACACTTAATTGCTTCTCTTACCAATGGCAACTAAAGAATCACATAACAATTTTGTCACCTTTTCACAGAATTATGCATATATTCTGGAAATTGATCAATACACACTTGAAACTTTCTTTGTTCTTTCCTTTGCAACAATATGTTGGTTATAATATATCTTACCAGGAACAAATGAACTCTATTTTTGCTTTTCTTTCATCATGCATATTCCTATTTTGGCACATTTCACTAATGAATTGGCATCATCAGAAAAAGAATTTTTATTTTTTTATTTTTATTTTAACAAAATCTACATGAGTGATAAAAAATATGTGATTCCCATTGAGCATCTGAACATTTGATTTTTACTTTATCATTATAGAAATTACTTATATCTTTACAAAGTTTCTATAAAAGCACAAACTTTAATGATGATAATAACAATTTAAGGTATTTCTTAGTTATACATTTCATTTTTTTCACCTTTTAAGAAGTTGTGTGGACCAAATTTAATTTTGTTTTGCATCATTAAATAGAAATTCCAGTTATACAGTTAATAATTTAAATCAGCAGGTATCACTTGGTTACCTTGGTAACATAAGGAATTGAGGTAGAACAAGCAATGTTTTTTAGGGGGGGGCTCTTCAGTTAACAGTAGGGAAACTCAAGAAATGAATTACATAAAGATGCCATGAAGATATCTACAAGGTTTTATTATTTTATTTTAAAACTCCGGTAGTTCCACATAATTTAACTGATGGAAACAGCACTTCACAAGAGGCCATTACATTACTAAAGCACCATTTTACTGTTATTTTAACCAGCTGTGATCCAAGTCTTGACATCTTTTCTTCTGTAGATGAGTACTTCAGTATATTTTATCTTTGGATGTTTTAGCGGTTTATATATCTATGCATACAAAACACTAAAGAAATGTTCAAATGCACTAAAACATAATGAAGATAATAATACAATAATAATAATAGCAAACTGCCAATTTGTTAACAGCTATCACTGAATTTACCTATCAAGCTTTAGATAAGAATGGCGAAACTTGGACTTGAAGGCATTTAACAGGGTCTGACATACTGACTTTCTCCACAATCTCAGGGCTTATAGTGTCTATGGATGAATATTTGATTTAATTCAATTATTTTTAACAAATCCGGTAATGAAGATCATATTGAACGGCCATGCTTCTAGATCATTTCACATTAATTCAGAGGCTGCCTAGGGCTCTATTCTTGGACCTATATGGTTTCTTATCTTCATCAATGACCTTCCCAATGTCATCAGTTCCTAACTAGGTACTTATGATGATGATGACAACTATTTACTCCTGTCTTAGTAGCAAGTCTGACAAAGTAAAACTGACAACTGTTCTCAAAAAAGACCTCCAAATCAGTGGTTAATTGGGATAAAGAATGGCTTGTAAATTTTAACATTTTTTATGGCTGATGCTAACCTTGAAGTGGAATAATTATATTGAATCAATTAGTAGGAAAATTGGTTCAGTATTGTGCCAGACAATTTTCTCATCAGAATCCATTTGCACATATTTAAATCTATCATTATCTATCAAGAAATGTTTGTATTGAACAGGCATGAAGCCCAGGTGAATTCTTTCAGTTGCTAAATTTTAATATTGAAGTTCACAAGAATTTTATCAAAGTGTCCTTTTAGACTGTACACACCAACATACTGACCACTAGTAAGCAAATCTCTGGAATATTTCAGATAATAAACTTAAAATACGTCATACATACCTTGCTTGCATCACAACCAAGATCTTTAATTACAGCACAAGACTGAGCAGCAAAAGCCTCATTCAATTCAAATATGTTGACATCATCAATGGACCAACCAGCTTTAGTCAACTGAATGAATAAGAATCAAATATACATTCAGGCAGTGTGCAGTTGGGTGTGCAGACGGGTACTGAACAGACGGGTGTACAGGTAGGCACGGAACAGTCAGGCATAAAGACAGAAACAAAATATTTATACTGACAGACATTGAATGGAAAATATGAAAAATAAAACTAAGTAAAAGTAATATTTCCTTAGATCAGTGGTTCCTAAATAATGTAGCATGCCTCATAGGCATGGCAGAAGAGGATAGCAGGTGAGGTGGAATGATTGAAAGACAATCAAAGATTTAGAAACAGTTTCCAAAATTTCATATGCCAATAATAAATAGATTTCAAAATTTAAAATATTATTATGGATTACTTGTAATTCATGCATAAATCCCAGTATAAATAGCTATAAATAACTATTGAATGATTTTATCATTATGATATTTTTGCATTATATCAAGTATTAAGAATATAGCAACTAGGGTCTAAAAATTGGAGGAGAGAGTTATCAATGATAACATTTGGATTTTAAAATCTGCGTTTATCTCCCTTTAACTCTCTCTCTCTCTCCATTTTTTTTATTTTTAAATAAAGTTTTTATCATATAAAATTTGGTGAGGCACAAACAAATTTTAATTCTGAAAATGTGACCCTAAGAAAAAAAAAGTTTAGGAACCACTGCCTTAGATGAACAATGGAAATCACTCCATGGATTAAAACTTTCTCATTTGAGTCACCAGATTTATGCTAAATCTTCAAATTTTCTTATAGCTATAAAATGTATTTAAATCTGCTCAATCCATTTTAATATTGGTCTGTTGTAGGTCTCCTTTTAAATCAATAATTTCATACAACAACTGCAAACATTATAGCAGTGTCTGTACAAAGCCTTCATCAAGCGATAACACTCAAGGTATCTCAACAATATGACTGGGCTTTGTATTCCATCATAATGTGAGAATGTTTGATCCATCCAATCTTGGAGCCTCTTTTGCGGTTTCCTCTTCATTTCAAGAGCCATCATAAACATGTATACAGAATGATGACAGTCTAAGATCTGTTGGTAATTTTTGGGATGTATAGATTGCATAACAGTTATTGGCATGAAAAGTTGAATCAGAGAGCCAAGTTCAAATTCTGCCTAAGTCTTATGTTCACATTATTGCTTTTGAGGAAGGGCATGAATCCATCTCTTCTTTCCCCAGCTATGGGTTAAATAGCAAAGCAGATTGAGTTCTCTAGTTTTCACTAGTAAAAATCATTCTACTATCTTTCCCAAGAAGTCATAGTAATTCACAGTTATTAAAGAGGGAAGCTGTGAAGAGTCATGACCACTTACATCCTGAAGGGTTATGACATTTAGAAAAACTGGTAATTTTGTTTCATTTTAAGATAAAAAATATAAAATCAGAATTTCTCATTTTAAAATGTAATGAAATATAATTTTATCATGTTACAAAATCAGAAGACAATATAATTAATTTTTGTTATTAAAATTATTGCCAAAATAAGATTTTTTTCATATAATAAAGCAGGATCTGATTAAATTCAGTTGAAAGTCAGATTTAAAGATTGAACAGTGATATTTAGAATCAAACCAAATTTTTTCTGTGAATAAAAAGAAAAAAAGAAAGGCTGCTTAAAAATCCCCCTCTTTTAATGCAATGTTCCTTTACTATGGAGATGATAATGGCTCTCCACAGCCACCTTTTAATATCTCATAAATTGAGTATTACCATAATTATTCTTGGGAATGATAGTGAAATAGATTCCTTTTGCCTTCTCCATGGTTTTGAATTCAGAGTTGCTCCTTCTCTCCTAGACTAGATGCCATTCAAAGTAAAAACCAGGTTTAGTCTACTATTGAATCCAGAGCTATATCTGGATTAAAGAATATTGCAAGACTGGAAATGTGTTGTCAAGTCAGACAAGTTTTCTAGCTTTTCAAGCAGTCAAATTCATGTTGGGTGGAGACCATATGAGGTTAATGATCGGGTCTCTCATGGAGGCTGCTGAAGAAATTGAAGTCTCCTTGTATGTGCAACTTGCAGACTATTTGCACATGCATAGCATGGTTACCAGTATTGTTGTTTGTTCCAGCAAGATAACGCAATCTAACATCATGCAAGGGTGAAGCAAAATTGGTTCCACAAACAGTTAACTTCCAAGGCACTTCATCAGCTCTTTTGCTTGCCAGTTTAAACTCTATTGGGTATATATCAGGCATGCTGGCAGAAATGACTAAATTTCCTGAAGCCAACATAACTCGGTTACAGACAGCCATAGAACATGCATGAATAGATATATCTATGCAATGAATCTATAGATTCTGAGGTATATCCTGTAATCACTGTTTTTCAGACAAAGAGATGAGCCACACATTAGGTAGCTGTTTTTAATTTCATAGCCCTTCAGTTTACTTAAACATACACATGGGTCATTCCGAAAGTAATGTACCTTATTTTAATATGTTGGCAGCATAGCAGTATCTTCCCACTAATAACCCATCATTTTTTTTACCTTGCTGAGTAGCAATCTAGCAAAATGGTGTCCGACATGAAAGTATGTACATTGCAGAGGCATGATATTGAATTCTTCCACATGGAAAAAAATGTACCAATTGACATTCAATGATGCTTGCTGAACATTTATGAAGACCAAACTGCGAATGTAGACATAGGTGGCAGATAATGTGTTTGACAAGCCATATTATACATAGCTCTCACCTCTCAAAATGAAAATTTCTTTATAGTGCTGGTGAAAATGTATAGCCAGCCTTAGTGACTATGTGGAAAAATGTTATGTTGTAGTTGAAAACTTGCTCTAGAACAATGGTGTTACTGAGCTACCTGTAGTTTCATAGAAATAAATAGAAGACATTAGTTTCAGAGCATCCTGTGTACTAAGTTGGATTATAGTTACAAGCTTTCCAAATTAATATTTTTCTGATAATATTTATAATTTTAAAAGGAGACCAAGGAACAATGGATTCCTTTTGGAAGCAATATATTCTCTATCTGGTTTTCCGTTTAATGTTTTCCTCAAGATTTATTAATAAAAAAAAAGTGTCAAATCTTTTGAATGGTAAAGATATAACTTAAGTAAATCAGTAAAGAAATAAAAGTCTTTTGTTAATTTATTGTATATTATATTGTGCAAATATTTTTTTCACATTTTTATGTATTGGGTTCTTCTGTTATTTTAAACTTTGATAATAATATGCCATAAAGTATTTACATCTTAATTTGTTTTTAAGTTCAGATAAAGGATGAGTAATTTTGTAATTGCATTGTACTCATAAAATATATAAAAACTGAAATACTGCCAAAGATAACCAGGAGTTTAAAGAGTTTTGCTTGTAAACCCAAGAAAAAATTATAACATTGCATAAGTGATAAATATGACTGCTTACCAAATTAAAAAAAAAATCCAGAGAAAGAGAAAAGAAAGAAATTAGTCAATATTTAAAAGTTAAATGAAAATTACATTGGAACAACACATTTTCTGTGATTATTTTACTTTTGAAAAAAAATTTAAATTATTTAAAATGTTTTTCTTTAGATTCTTTTGTTTCTAACCCATTTCTTCTTGGCATCACTTTAAATTCATGCCATCTTTTTTTCGAGATATTGTGATCATTTTGTTTAATGTTCATATCTTCTTAATTTCAGATGAAAACTTGAAAATTTTCCAACATATTTCAGTGAAATTTTCACTTTGCAAAATTATGGTTTATAATTATAGTTTTGATATAAAAAAAAATATGTTTAAACTGATACCTTAATGATATGGTTTAATTCCAGAAAACAATATCAACTACTTTTGATTTTACAAGTGAGCATTTTTCCTAAAATTCAAATGTTTTAGGAAATTGTTTGGTAAGTGAGAACTAATAAATTTAAACAAGTTCTTCATCATTAAGAGATGCAAGTAAACATGATTTTTATTCACGGTCAATATAACAATGAAGGCATTTTGGACAATGGCCTAAAGATGATCCCAAAAAGCAAGATTCACAAAGTGCATCAAAATTGTTGGCATACTACTGTGTTAGAATTTACCAAAAGTGTGCATACAAAAAGTTTAAGTTAAAAAGGGGGAAGCCTTTTCAAAAATGTAGCCAAAACAAAGGAAAAAGGAAAAACAACTTACAGCTTTCTTAACTGCTGGGACTGGTCCAGTACCCATGACAGCAGGGTCAACACCAGCTTGAGCCCAGGACACAATTCGACCAAGTGGTTTTAATTGTCTATTTTCTGCTTCAGTTTGTGACATTAACAACACTGTAGCTGCTCCATCATTAATACCTGAACAGAGGGAAAAATAAAAAGGAGTTGTTTACATTTACAAATATACTTACTGGAAATATATGAAAATAATGAGGCATTTAAAGTTACAAAAGAAAAAAAAAATCAATATGATTAAATATTTTTATTAATAATTGGAAATCCATTTTAATGTGATAAATTGCAAATGAGAAAATTCACACTTTAGTCTGAATATATGTACAGATTTACCACAGAAACAAAGTCAATGCAATAAAATTTGTATTTAATCAAAATCCATTGAATATTTTTTATGACTAATAGAGTCAGAACTTACAGTGGGATATGATAAGTTTTTAGTCACCCTTGATTACAGCAATTTTGGCTTGTGTAATAATGTCTCTTTTTATTTTTTCAGACAATAGCATGTTAATGACAAGCTACTCTCATCTATGAATGATAATTGACTTATATTTTGCAATGAAAGTTCGCAGAAGTAAGGAAATTGGTGAATTTCAACAAGGGCAAATAATAGGATGGCATAAGTGTGTTAAGTCAAATTGAGAAATTGCTAGGTTTTTCCAGGTTAATCATCAAACGGTTAATAATATTGTCAAGAAATTTAATGAAAAAGTCAATTGTCTTGTGAAACAACATTCAGGAAGACCAAGCATTTGTGTCTGAGTGAATGAAAAGGGTGCCAACAACATGGAAATGTTGCCATATGCAGTGAGAACGATTCTGAAAGAGCTAGGCTATCAAAGTTGCAAGAAAGAAGCCCTTGATTTCAGAGATTAACAGGAACAGTCATATGGACTGGGCGAGAGAATTCAAGAGCAGAGATTATGAATTTTGGCAGTCTGTAATTTCGTCAGATGAAAGTAAATTCTGCCAATATTCGAATTCAAGACAAGTTTATGTTTGGAGAAATCAGAATGAGACTTGAAACATTCAATGTCTGCAGTAAACCATGAAACATGGAGGGATTGGAGTAATGGTGTGGGACCCTGTCTGGTTTGGAGGGAAATCTGAGCTGATTCTTGTTGACATGCAGTTGAATGGTCCAAAACACTGTCAAATATTAGAGAAAGGACTACTCCCACAATTAGAAACCAATCAGATCGACAAGAATGTCTACCATTTTCAAGAAGATGGAACACCATTTCATACAAGCAAAGTAGCAAAGGCCTGAAAGGAATTGCAAGGAATCAAATGACTGCTATGGGTAACCCAAAGTTCTGACATGAATCCAGAGGAGCACATTTGGGAGCACCTAGACGAAAACTTCGATAGCATGCAATCAAAATCACGTCAGTGGTAACCCTTAAGGAAACAAATCCATAAATAAGTGGCAGAATATGGATCAGACGATTGTTGATAACTTGATCAAATCCATGAAAAATCAAATACAAACACTGAAACTAGCAAATGAGGACCTACTCCATACTAGTTCCAAATACTGTTTATTTATGTTGAGTTGGGATTACGTAATTAAATTATTGAAATTGGATGTAGTTTATTTCTCCTGGCTAAAAACTTTTCTTAGGCCACTGTACTATCTGTGGAATTGCCAACTAAGGTTTCAGTTACCAACTGGTAAAAAATTTATGTTCAAAACTTTTGTTAAAATATGTTTGAAAAGCAGTTATAACAGGAGAGCTTAGAAGAAAGATTTATTCTCCTATTTATATTTCCCCCATTCTGGGCATTATTATATCTGATATAATGACACCGATATTTCACAGACAGAACATAATGGCTGAAAGGAAAAAGAATGACAAACATGCTTTGTTCTCAGAGAAACTTTTATACCACTAAGACATACACAAAACTATATATAAATATATACATGTGCCCCATGCAGAGAATAATATATCATATATCTACATGGCAAAGCACAGTGTCAGGAGAAACAAAAAGGAAGGGTCTTACATATAACATGGAGATACTCCTGTGTCTGGAGAAGCCATGTTTAGGACTCTAGATTCAAACGGGCTGGATTCATCTACCATACCCCGGGCAAGTACATATTCCACAAAGGGGAAACGGCAAGTCTTGGGTTTTCCCAAATAGAAATGCCACCATGGACTAATAAACTGTAGCATTTGCTGGAGGAGGCAAATTTATCCTTAGTCCAGTCTCCTTGGCTCAGGCTAAAATGCTTGGTTTGGCTGCTGTAAAGAAACTGAAATTGACTGCCGTTTTGTCATTGCATAGAGTGATGTCACTAAGGAGCTACTACATGACTTATCTCGAGCAAAGCGAGATAATTGCCTTTGGTATCCCTAGAGAGTAAACTATAAAGAAAGATCAACATAAATCTTTAATAATAGTATTTCAAAATATAAGCAATTTAAATGTCCTCAAAGCATATAAAAGTCTGAGTCATCAGATCTTGAAAGGAAAAGCGCAAACAAGAAGTTTCTTTAGATGACTACAAAAATATTTATGTCTAATTCATTTCATTTTTACAATCTCTTAGTTAGGGCAGGTTGTACCTCCATCTCCCACATCAAATGAACTTGATGTTGCAGTGGGGAGGGGTAGATTTAACTCAGTCATTAAATGAACTTAATGGTGTATAGCAAAATATTTTCTGAATAAAGTAAACATTGATTGTATATTATTTTAATTTATTTACATTTCTAAAATTAGGCTTTTAAAATAAAGTTTCAATTTTCCCCAAAAATGTTTGGACACACCAAGTGTATATTTTCCCATTACTATTATCCATGAATTTCTCCATCCTGGATGGGTGGGGAATGTTTTGAAACCTATCTACCCTGAATGAAAACCTACTGTATTAGAATATACAAACATTAAGGGAAAAAAAAATCTTCTTTACACAACAATATCTCAACTTTGATATTTAAATCAGTTAGATGGGCTGTTTAGTAATAATTATTTTACCCATTTTTTTTTTTTTTTTTTTTTTTACATACCTGAGGCATTCCCAGCAGTGACGGTACCCGTACCATCTTTTAGAAAACAGGGTCTAAGCTTAGTTAAACTCTCAACTGTTGTGTCTGGCCTTGGAAACTCATCTTTGTCAATGATCAGTTCACCTACAACAACAATTGTTACATTTTAGTAACATTTTTAGTGAACAGTTTATTTATACAATCTTCAGCTTTATTGGAATTAAAAACATTTTTAAAACTATTGTATATTTATATGGAGGATATGCATATGTCTTTAGTGTGAATATATAAAACATAGTTAATAAATATAAAAAGATATCGAGAATCCATTTTGTTTTGTTAGAAATGAACAATTATCACAAAATAAGCATTAACTTTAATGAATGAGCATTTAAACTCAAAACTTCTTTTCATAAAAAAGCAAAGAAAAAATAAAGTAATGATTTTTTTTTAATATATAAATGTTCTAGAAGTTAGCATATGACCAAGAGATCTTTTCAAAATCCTTGACAAAAAGCTGTAGTCAAAGTACACTAAAAAATATCATTATCAGTCCAAAGAGAAAAGAAAAGAAAATGGGAACATTTATGACATAAACAATGAAAATTCTATAGTAAAAATTTAACATTCAAAGATCTACGGTAGTGTTTAATAAATGTTACAAGCCCTTAATTATATCGGATTAGGAAAAAAAGAAAGAAACAAACCAGTTCTTGTCTTGACTGTCACGGCAATAATCTCTTCTTTAAAATGCCCTGCCTCTTGAGCAATTTTGCATTTCTGTTGTGAATTAGCAGCAAAATTGTCTTGTTCACCACGAAATATGTGCCACCTGTGAGCAACATTTTCAGCTAGAAATTAAGTAAAGAAAACCAGACATTTTTTAAAAGGAAAAAGATAGTCAGTTGGGTTGGTGGATTTTATAACATATCAACCCTTGTTGAGTTATTTAATGTCAAAATCTGGAGGCTATAGACAAATACTTGCTAAGTTTATATTGGAGTCTACACACAAATACTTGATTTTATAATTGAGTCTACAGGCAAACACTGCCTGGGTTCAAATAGGTAAATACTAGGCAGGCTTACACTTGAGTCTGTAAGTAACCACCTAGAAGGTGGCCTCTTTTGGAGGGTGATTTTTATCCCTCTGCAGGGGATAAGGTCAGCATAGTCTACTCTCTTTGATTCATAGATTAATAGAAATTTGTTAAAAGATAATGATAAGTTTTGTGATAAAGAGAGAGTTTAGTGATGTTATTAACATTGTTTATATTAGACAAAAATCAAATGATTAGCAATGATATACTATAAATCTTGATGAAATTGAGGATAAAAATGAATGTGTGATTTATTTAATATTTGTTGTATATGTGCAATTTACTCTGTATGAATATGCAAAAGAGACTATTTTGAAATCATTGTATGAAGAAAAAAAATAAAATCATTTACAAGTTATGACTTTGACTGCCTATCATTGTGCTTATTTTGTATTTGTAGGTTATAAACTTCAGTAGAGTAATAAATGGTTTATAAAAAAAAAGTGTAATATTTCGAAAATTTATCCAAACTTTAAATGAACAGACAAATGAATAAAAAAAGAGAGAAATAAAACAAACTCTATTGTATACTCTACTCGCGTTTAAGATAAATACAACGAATATCATTTTACTGTTTAAAAACATATTGAAAAGAAAAATGCATTGGTGTTCATTCGATGGACTAATAATAGTTTATTAAGAACAAATATTGCCCAATATATTTTACCTCCAATATACATACACATAATAAGATTGTGTTTTGCAAAAAACAAAGCGGTTTTCAACCAGTACATTTTTAATGCTTCTTAGGTCAACAATCTTTGTAATTAAAGCACTCAATAACAAAAGAGTATAACAGCAAATAAAATTAAATGTTCAGCACTTGTCTTTCACAGATATGGTATCAATATATATATATATATATATATATATATATATATATATATATATATATTCTCACTAAAAATATTCTGATGTTTCAGCAAATTTTGGGAAGTGGATGCTGAGAACTCTACATGAGTGTGTGTAACATGCCAAGTGTATTTACATAATTTTTGTCTCTAGTATTTGTAACATTTTTCTGGGTTAGAGTTATCTCTGATGAATTGACTATAACTGGTGACAGACAGTTCAAAGTTGCCTACAAAGAGGTGAAAAGACCACCTCCATGAAAGAGCAGAGTACAATAAAAGTTTGGGGTGGAGGAGACATTTAAAAGACACTCATGTGAAAACCTTTTAATAATAGTAAGGATTTGAAATCTCATATGTACTATCAGATTTTATGGTATCAGTAAACTAATTATACAATGGTACTTAAGTAACAAGAGGGAGAAAATACAATAGCTAATGGTATCAGAATTATTACCTAATTTTAGTCAATAATTTGTATCAGTAATGTGGACATGTGTAGATAGCATAATGTTTATTAGTATAGAGATTCGAATAAGTATGCCGAGTTCAAATTCCAGCTTCATTTGTTGTGTTCATTTTTATACTAATCTCCTCAGTAAAGGCATGAATCCATCTCTTCTCCCCACTTCCAGTTATTGGTTAAATAATAAATTAGACCGATTTCTCTTGTGTGCCAACTAGTCTAAGAGAAGGACTACTCTGAATTCAAAACTGTGAAGAAGGCAATAGGAAGCACCTCCACTATCTTTCTCAAGAATGTCATGTCAATTCACAGATAATAAAGGAAAGGAATCTGGCAAACCATGATTGCTAATGACCTGAAGGGACATGGCATTTGGAAAATGTGAACTTGGGATATATCACTTTAAAGAAAATAGATATAAATTATTATAAGAAAATGAATCTATGAGTGTTCGTAGTTATTTTTTTTCCTGCTTACCTGTCATTCCCATGTGATAATTGTGGAAGGCATCAACAAGTCCATCTTTGAGCATTGTGTCTGTAAATGTAACATCCCCCATTTTGGTACCAGATCGCATGTGCATACAGTGAGGAGCCTAAATGTAAAAGGTAAATAAAAATACCAAAATACAAGTAAAGTATATTAATCTTTATCACTCTGTATGTGACTTCATTTGCTGTACAAAAAGTTTATCATGCCACTGAAGATGACTGATCCCTGAACAACAGTGTGTTTGAATTTCATAGTTGTGTTGTCATACACTGCTATGGCAACAGAAAACAACTTTGAGCAAAATTAACAGTAAGGATACTGCAATTAAGAGGCCTTGAAAAAGAATGCTGTGGAAAGGGAAGTAATATTAATAATGCAGGATGCTAAAGTAAAAGAAAATGGTCTGCACTATCCAGGAAAAATGAAATTGGCACAGAATTCTAAAAATATAACTTTTGAGCTCAGTTTTGTTATATTAGATTGAGACTGATTGTTGATTTGTCTGTTTAATGGCATATTAACTTCTTATGGGCCATTTAATGATGAAAATTCATTTTCTTGGGAGCTTGGAAGTAATAATAATATATATTATTCTGCTTTCACAACTGAATACATGGTAGATACTCAGCTTTTATGTGTATACATATTTATGCGGGCATAATTACTAAAGGCGGTGATATGTGTGTTTCATGTTGTAGTTTTGTTGAAATTATATTTTGGAGTACAGTTTGATTTCTTGGATATTATATGAATTAATGTCATGAACAAGTTCTTTCATGTTTGTAGTCTTTTAAACAGATTAGTTAAAATTTGTTAGTATAGTGTATTGTTGGTAATTTTACTATAAATATGTATTGTTGGTAATTTTTTTTATAGAAAAATGTATTTTTATACTTTCATAGTGTTTTGTTTGAGGGTTTACTATTTGCCCATAGCTGGGACTCTAACAGGTGCTACCACTCTTAATCTGGGTGGACCTGGTAACAACAGCAATTAAGAGATGGTTTTACACTACTCAAAGCCTCTAATCTCCCAGTCAGAGGCCTTCTGTTGAATGTTGTTTATTGTTGATAACCAGGACTATTAGATTGAGAACATAAAATATACAAAAGTTGTGAATTCATTTTACAAAAAAATAATTGTTATTTTATTAAGAGTACAGGATTTTTTAATATATACTGATATATTGCAGTAATAGATTGGCAGCCAGGTCTCATCATTCTACAATTGAAATTGCTAGACATAACTAAGTTCTATGCTAATAGTTTCTTTTCTCACTCTTCCCACTCCAAGCTTTCCAGTTGATTTTCAAAAAATTTAAATGCAATATCAATATCTGTCTTCCTAATTTCGGTTCTTTTATTGTTTTCTCTCTTTAATAATTGTTTTCTCATGTTCTCTTATACTCACTAAACACTTGTATGTTAGCGACTTCATTGCTTTACTTGGGATAAAATAAACTTTATATATATATATATATATATATATATATATATATATATATATATATATATATATATGAATAATAAGTATTAATTTCAGCTTATATTGATGATATCTTGTTTGGGCAAATGTCAGGTTATATTATGTAAACAAAGTGCTACATAAATTTTTATTTATAAATAAATCCCCAAAATATAGACAAAAACATATTTGACTAACACACTATTCTATAAACATAAATAAATCATTATTTCATATGCTAATATGACTCTTTGACGTTCTATAACCTTCATTAGTCATTTAACAATTGATTTTTTTTGTTACTTGAAGACGGTTTTATTACTTCCCCAAGATCTTTACTGGGATATTGTTTTATATTCTCATATACATCACTTTTAGTAATGGACCATCATTTTTCTATTGGATTAATATCTGGAGAGGGTGGGAGCCATTCCATTTATTTGGTGTTTTTGAAACCTTTTTTTTTTTTTTTTTTTTTTTGGAAGGTGGACAATAGTCAACTTTTCAAAATATTAAAGAGCATTATCTTTAACTTGAAACATCTTTGTTTGACCACTCTTTACTACTCACAAAACATCTTGTCTAAGAACTACCATAATTCTTTCCATTGATCTTAAATCATCAATTTTGGAGGGACCTATATTAAAAAAAAAAAAAATGTCAGCATTCTCTCCCTTTTGTGCATATGTGTGATCACATCAATGTAAACATCACTTTAGTCCATTGAAATCCTAAAGGATGAAATACAAGTAAAAGGTTTGTCATTTAGCTGTTACCTTCAGTATCTTGACCCCAGAGTTTCGTAGACAAACTCTCTGGTAATCACTTCGTCCACACTTCAAGGTGTAAAGAAAGACTTATCAAATATCCGACCATGATGAGTGTTTCAACATGAAATTCTTGAGTTGCCTAACCAGATAAGTCATTTTAACTTTTCTTGCTTTATTGAATATTATATAGCTCTAATTATCTGCGGAGTTCTTTTTTTGGCAGTTCTGCTAACCTAAAAAACACGTTAAAATTCTCATAATTTTCACCTATTTTTTTCAGTTGTATTATCATTGTCATTCCTGTTGTTGTTTTTCTCAAATATCAATGGAAATATTACCTAAATAAACTTACCCTACTCATATTTTCCATTCCACCAGCAACTACAATTGTTGAATCTCCAGTTTTAATGGCCTGTGCACCCATCACAACTGCTCTTAGCCCTGATCCACATAGCATATTAACCACACAAGCTGGGACGGAATTAGGGAGGCCAGCTTTGATACTGGCTTGTCTAGCTGGATTCTGACCCTCACCTTTTAAGAAAAAAAAAAATCTTCATTATAAAATATTTCTTCAATTGTAATTCCAAACTCAAACTTTTAAATATACATGTTTTGTTTAACTAGTTTCATAATCATTTTTTTTTCTTTAATTGTAAAGAGAAACTATCTAATATGGACAGGACATCAACATGTTTAGATTTGCAATTTGGTTATAACAAAACATTTTAAATCTTTGTATTTTCGCAATGATAAAAGAAAAACAAATTAAAAAAAAAACAAAACAAAAAAACTTACCAATTTTTAAAAGTATTTTAAAAAACGAAATTTAATTTTATAAATATGCAGATGAAATTATAAAAATAAAAAGCAAACAGAATATTAAAAAAATTTTAAACAAAATAATTAAATGGGAAAAAAAAAAACCCTTCAAATAACTATTTTAAAGAGATATATATGGTATCAACTCTAATACTGATAATATCCAAAACTTTTAAAAAGGTATACTAATTATTTTATCCACAAATTTTATTCATTATTTACTTTCTAATATAAAACACAATGCAACTTTATACATTTATTGGTCATGTAGCTTTAGCCCCACTTTTTAGTAATGAAATAGTTGATTGTTAACAATAACTGTCTATGAATAAACAAACAAGTTTCATGTTACCATAGAAACAGAATATCTTCACAAGTAAGTAAAAACCATTAAAATAAAAATATCCATAGAAAGCTAATACAAAAGAAATAAAAAAGCAGTATATTAACATGATCACCCACTACTTACTAATTCATTTCTTAAAAATTAAAGTTTTCCCTTTCTTATCATTTATTTTTTACTTAAATAATTTTTGTGAATCAGCAATTTGCTGATGCTAATAAACTATGCATTATATATTTGGCATACTTAATTGATATACTTTTATAACAAAAGATGGAAATATTTTAAATGTAATGATAATTATTAGTTTCAGATTTTTCTTAGTGCTTCCATAAACAAGTAAAAGGGATATAAAGAAAGAGAATTCTTTTAATCCTATCACTGATATTAATCCATTAACTTTGGCAGATATTTCAGTCACTTGCAGTTGAGCCACAGAAAAGCAATGACAGAAAGTCATGTCGTACAAAGTCGTAGGTTTTATAAAAAATAAGCAAATTAATTAATATAGAGAAAAGGTAGATCAATAGAGGTTTATTCTTACCTGCAGTATAAACATTTCCCATAATAACTTCAGATACATCTTCAGGTTGCACTGCAGCTTGTTCAAGAACACTTTTGATGGCAAAAGAACCAAGTTCAGAAGCTGCAACATTTGCCAATCCACCATTAAATGAACCTTCACAAATAAAATCAAAACATACTGACATAACTAAACAGTAAATATGAGTGTGTTCCCAAATATAACACAGGAAGATGATACCGTTACAAAATACTATGTTATTCCTCTAATGATGTTGGCATCAGAGAGAAAGAATGTGGTGCTATGATTTATTGCCAGCAGAAAAAACATTTTAAAAACAAAAGTGAAAACAGAAAAAAAAGGGGGGAAAAAGAAGAACAAAAAAAAAAAAAAACAGAAAAAAAAGGGGCAAGAAAGAACAGAAAAAAAAGGGGCAAGTATTTTATTTTTGAAAGAATTATGTTGTGTTGACAGATTTGTCAATATGGACAATTTTATTTTAATGATGATAATCAGAAAAACAACATTTTTATCTTAATCAATTTTTAAATTCGGTTTGAAATGCAGCAAAGTATTTTGCTTATAGGAAATATTAAAATTAAATTTTTAATTTAATCTATTTAGTTTTTTTATTAGCTTGGAATTAAATTATAACTAAAATATTATTATAAAAACTCCAATATTATTCATTTTTTAAATGCATTTTTAAGTCTAAAGTTTTTTGGTTTTTTTTTAGGTAGCTATTTTATTTTATTTTACAAGTTGGGAAAGAGTTTTTGGCGCTATTACACTTTCGCCCCACCCCACCCCCCAGCAGCGTGTATTGTAACTGTGTTGGAATGCGTCACGAAAAAATAAATGACTTCGTCTCTTTCTCTCCTGCTGTCGTAGCGACGGACACAGTCTCCACTTCTGAGACCGAAAAACTGACCTCCTTCTAATTCCAGCACTTTACATAGAACTTGGTAACTCACCTATGCAAAACACCAACAAGCCAGCTACCAATCACAGTTCCCCCGCCTGCCCACCTCCACTCGCTTTGGGGGTTTCAAGTTGACCGACCAACATCCGCATATATACAACTTGCACGCTTGACATGTTGGGATAACCACACATGCGCAAACTCATTTGCTCCGAGGTGGCAGATTTCCAGATTCATCCCGTGTCTCACTGTCATGCTCGCACAACGTGCAACTCGGTGCAGGCCTCTTCTGCCAGGTACTCCTTCTGAGCAGGATGACAGGGTCCTCATCCGCGGATGAACTCTCATCTGTTGAGCTACTATCCGCCTCTGGACAGCTGGCCACGTTGATGTCCGCAGGTAGAGTACTGATGTTTGAGGTAGAACTCAGTGGATCCAACTTTAAATACACCACTCGCGCACCATCTTCAGAGTCACTTTCATCATCTAATGACGGTTTTAACCCTACAACTAGCTGCAAGTCTTTAACAGGATGAGGCACGCCATCAACCCGCACTGACTGCGGGCTGATAATCTCGGTAACATGCCCCATTCTAAGCTTGTCCGTACACTTGCTGTGCGGGGTCTTAACCCACACTACGTCACCAATTCTGTATTTAGCTTGCGCGTCACTAGGAGCCATTGCAATGTCAATGCCTCACAGCCGTAAGTGATAGGCGTGCACCATGTTAGTCGGTGCTGTTGTAGGCGAAACACCGTCTTTAGGCGTCACATTATACCAATAGACTGCTTCGGGGATTGAACATTGCTTCCTGGCTGCAATCACTTTTATAGACCGGTGGCTCCTTTCTACTGTGCTGTTTCCCGCCGGCACGTAGGTGCACCAGAACCGAAGCCGCACACCCCACTTCTTTAAGAACTGTGAGAATTGCTCTAAAGAAAACACCGCACCATTATCTGTCAATATTTCTGCAGGTGGCCCCCGGTCGTAAAAGATGGACTCCAATTGACGTATTATGCTGGCAGTGTCCTGCCGGTGCAGTAGTCGCCAAATAGCGAAGCGAGAGGGTCCACAGTCAATAATAGTCAAATAGTGCTGGCTGCCAACATGCGTAACATCTATCCCCAGCCTGTTCAAAACATGGGTAGTACTCAAATTTCCTTCTTGCCATTGCACCGGTGATGGGTCAATTGACTGGCACGCCTCGCACCTCTGCACTACAGTCCTAACATCCGTCTTTTTGACTGCCAGGTTGACCATCTTCGAGAAGTAGAGCATCTGTTTAATCCCAGGATGCCCACACTGTTCATGTATGTTCATGATCCACTCGAGGTCCATACTGAGCGCAGAAGCTGTACACGGCAGCTGCAGAGGTTCAGACTCTTTCCGAGCAGCAGCCAACCAACGTTGTGGAACGCGAGTCAACGCATCTGCCCTGTTGACTGCTGATTTAACTAACACTACATCCACAGACAGGTTGTATTCTTTGATAATTTCAATCAGCGTGGTGAGCCGCCTTCATATCAACATCTCGCTCAATACCTTGGTGGTCAGTCGCGCTCTTCTGCTAAGTGCATCTGATATCCAACACTGAGTGCATGCTGAGTCCGTGACGATGTGTAGCACTGTTGCTTGCTATTGGAGCGCCAGGTTAACCCCCTTCAGAGTGACGTCTAGTTCAGCCAGGTTTATGCGTCGTGCATCATTTTCAGGTCGTAACCAGCAGGCGTCTTCTATGATGGACCTGTTATCCTCAAGGGCGACACCCATGGTCAACGAGCTGGCATCCACCCAAACGGTGAGCTTGTTCTCCATAACGCACCAGTCACTTTGCACAGGATCGTCTTGCATCACTCTCTCCATAGTTTCAGTTATCATGCATCTTAGGGTAACATCGTGCACATCATCATCCCATCCTGACGAAACAGAAGTTACGCGGTGCTTTATGGCTGCTGCCGCCACTCTGAGCCAACCGCATATGGGAAAATGGCCTACCAGTTTCCCACACATGGAGAAGGTACTCCGACGAGTGATCACTGGCGGGACTTCCGGGGCATCACTACTTCGCCTCCAGCGAAGTTTTTCTCCATCACTACTGACGTGTAGTCCAAGTTCATTCGCTCCATCCTGTAGCGGCTCTGGGGTCTTGTACACCAAGCCAAAGTGCTCCAGATGTTCCTTAACCATTGTTGAAGAGGCCACGTTTTCATTGACGTAAACATCGTCAATATAGGATGACGTTGCCCTTCGAATTTCCTCATCCTGCGACATGACCACATTCATAATTGCTGACATGATTTTTGGAGCCACATTAAGACCAAATCCCAATTGAGTGAGGCAATATCTCTGTCCTTTTACCATGACAGTCTGAAAGGGCCAGAGTGATCGGTGGACTCGGACTTGGAGGTAGGCCCTTCTTAAATCAAGGGTGGCCCCATTGCTCCCTTGCTGTCGCCATTCCCGCAATTTCTGGGCACAAACGTCCGCGTTGGCCATATATGCATCTACAAAAGTATTCAATTCCCTGTAGTCCATGACCGGTCTCACTTTCCCCTTATTCTCTTGCACTATTGCCATCAACAGAATCAGTTCTTGAGGCGGCCCTAACTCCTCCTCGGGGTACAGCGCAAGCCAGCCATTTGCTATCCAAAGCTGCAATTCATTTTCGTATTCGCTCCTGATATGCTCTGGAACCGAGTACTCTGCTATTTTATTTTTCAGTGGCGTGGGTGTTCGTCCACCCGCCCACTTCCACGTTATGGTCCATACGCGCCTGCACTGGTCGAAAGTTGCTCTGACGTCAGGTTCGTTAATCCTCAAGGCAGCACAGATGGGCGGATCAGAAAACTCGACTTCACCCGCCTCTGTGATGCGTACGCCGCCCAGCTCCTTAATAATGTCCATCCCAAGGAGCAGATCAAAACCTAATAATGCGCTGTCCACAACCAACACGCTGACTGTAACGGGGTTACCGTTGTTGATAGTGAGTTTGATGTTTCCAACACCCCGGCTTTTGAGAGCTTTTCCATCAGCCGTTAGTACGTCCATCTTTTGTCTGCTCCACTGTCGACAAATCAAACCGTTCGTGAGTGACCGAGAGCAGCCCGAATCTACTAAAGCAGTACGCGTTATTCCATTGATGCGCACCTTAATCACAGGGAGTGCCTCTTTCATGCTCAGTGCGGAGAAGAGACCGGCTGACGTCGCATCCCCCATTCTATTTCCCGGACACTTAGAGGCAATATGACCTACTTTATGACATTGGAAACATCGTAGATTGAAATGTGCCTTTCACACCGACCAGCTGCGCATTGCTTCGCGCTGATAGCAGCAGTCTTTGGAAAAATGATTTCGGCCCAGAGCACCGATAGCAGGTGACATCGCCATGGTGACGGATGGCTGGGGTCGGATCCTCTTTGACATCAATTGGTTGAACGACTGCGGCCACTGGTTCATCAGCCTCTTTTTCGTCGATCATGATAGCACGGGCTCTGGTCAACAATTGATTGAGCGTCATGTCTTCCATTCTAGACGATGCACGGAGTATCTGCTTAACATGACAAGGCAATCCAGACACGAAGGCACAGGTCATCCATTCTTCAGGAAGCGGTGCGATCGGTACAGCGAGCTTCTTTAATTCTGCCAAATATACATCTACTGTCTTGCCAGGTCGCAGATGCCGCGCCTGGAATTGGTCATAGGCCACGAACTGGTCAGTTCCAAACGCAGTTAGTAGAGCGTGCTTTATTTGCTCAATGTCACTTTTCTGTTCTTTGCTCAGCTGCCTATACACAGCAAGGGCGCCGCCTTTCAATCACAGTGGAAGAATCTGTTCAATCTTTGTGATCTCGCATAATTCGCAGACCAGTTCCACTTTTTCGATCCATTCAACCACAGACTGTCCACTCGTATCACCACTGAATTCGGAGATCAGTTTTATGTCGAACGGTCTTTCCACCATCTTGCTGGAGACAAAGTAAATGCCGAAATAGCTTGTGTTGGAATGCGTCACGAAAAAATAAATGACTTCGTCTCTTTCTCTCCTGCTGTCGTAGCGACGGACACAGTCTCCACTTCTGAGACTAAAAAACTGACCTCCTTCTCATTCCAGCCCTTTACATAGAGCTTGGTAACTCACCTATGCAAAACACCAACAAGCCAGCTACCAATCACAGTTCCCCCGCCTGCCCACCTCCACTCGCTTTGGGGGTTTCAAGTTGACCGACCAACTCATTACAGTAACCAAGTCAGAATTGATAGCCTTTCTACAATAATCGAAACACAACGAACAATGATTTAATTTACATTATTTGGACTATTGTCTTCATCTTTGTCGTCATATCTATCACAACGTTTCGGCCGTTGTACGCTCCGGCCTTCTTCAGGTGGTTGGAATGTCGAACTGAACTGAACTCTTTATTTCGCTCACTGGGGTAGACTGTTCTAATTCCACGTGCCATGTTTGATGGATGTCAGTTATCAGTTATCTCCTGTTAATTTCTCTCTGAAACAGGCTAATTAAATTAACTCACACTCTTTGGGTCCTGTCACTGGATCTAACCAACGCCTTTATCCACTGTGCCATGCGTCCTCAAGGACAATAATCCGAATAATCATAATGTAAATAATGTACATAATACCTCATCTCAGAAATATAGACAGAAAAATGACTTGCTTACAAGAAGCACGTAAAAGTAGAATAATATAGCAACAATAACATTATATAAAAACCATATTAAGCAAAAAAAAAGTCATACAAATAAACAATTTCAACATTAATGATACAGAAAAGAATGGGCGCTTACTTACAAGGCGATGGGATGCGAAAGTGTAATAGCGCCGTATTTTTTTTTTTATTATTTAATTCTGTGTTAAAACAATTCACAAGATAACAACTTAACAAGGGTCAGTCAAAAACCGTTGGAAATCAAAAAAAGAAAAGTGTCACTGAATTCATTATCTTTCTTCTTTTTTTTTTTTAACGTATAACAAAGGTTGTTTTATTCGAATGCTTGTATCAGAGCGTTGGCTTGAGTTGAGATATTGCATAAATGCGGTCATTCATTTTTTTAATTAAAAAAATGAACAACAGTTTCTGAGATAAAAAAAAAGCACAATTATAAATAAACTTAGTTAAATTACAATCAATTATACCAGCGTTATAAATAAATCTTAGTTTATAGTAGAGTACTTTCATACTTTAAACACCCGTGTTAGGTCTAATTAGACCTAGTTTTATCTACTTAGCTAAGTAAATAAAACTAATTTTCTTTCAAGATTATTTTACAAAATCATAAAACAAAGATTAAGATCCCGAAACAAACAGAGCGTATGGACCCTAAAAAGAAAAACATAAGGCATTTTTCTAAGAGGTTCATTTTTTATGCAACATCGAATAAATGTCCCAAGCTATATTTTTCATGAACATTAAATATTTTCAATAGCAGTTGCAAAACAACTAATTAAAATTTATTACTGGCTTGATAAAAGTTTTAAACTTAAACAGGTAAATAAACAAAAGTACAAAACAAAACTATTCTGTACAAACCCCAGTAAAACCCCGATAGTTTTAAATTTTAAAATCTACTTACACTGTTCTCGCCAAAACGACTAAAACTTTAAAAAATTTTGACAGTCTGATGAAAAAAAACCTGTCATGTGATTTTTAGAGCTGACTACATTTTAAATTAAAAATGAAATCATCGTTTTAACGTTTATTATGACAAAGTCACCAAAAGAAGATAACAAGCCAATTTAGCTTTTCTCACTCACCAATCGGGGTCCTTACAGCGGATACAATGACGACAGAATCCATGAATGAAGAGTAAAAGCACCACGCGAAAAAAGAAAAACGCTAGCGCACACGCACAAAAAAACGAATTTTTTACGCTACAATAACAATTGAATAAAACCTCCCACAACTAACAAAATAGAAAAACAAACGTGGTAATCACAACCAGCAGTAGAAAGTCTGACGGATCCACGTGTTCCTTTCAACCAGCGACATTTCTTTACGTCACCAACCGGAAGTAACATTACCGGGTCACGTGTCAATTGCCGTCTGCACGAAGGCTTTTCTTTTTGGTTGTCTTCAGCAATCATTTAAAGAAGAGATTATTATTTTCTCTTTGAATTTCTGGGATGAGGTATCAATTATCATGACTAATAATATTCTAACTAATGTCTTCATGTTTGTTGTTGTGTCATCCGACCGTCTTCAGTTGTTTGTTTACCAATCTGAGTAATAATCTTCAAGGAATTTCGAACCAAACTGTTTTAAAAGTTTGTTTTTAAATCTCGGTACCACCCCCCAAAATACTTTTTTTTTCCCCGCAAAGTAAAACATCGACACTTCCTGTTTTAGTGTTTTAAAATATTTACCAAAAATCAGAGAATTATCCGATTCAAACGCAATTTTTCATTAATGAATGTCTTTACTGAATAAATTATTTTATTTAAAAAAAAACACACAAAAAAAAACAAACTTTGCGGGTGTTTTATTATACCCTTTTTTTTGATATCGTGTGTTTATTAATTTTGTGTGTGTGTGTAGGAGGTCGTCCAAAATGTTTTAAAAGGAAATTCCTGAAGCGATTATTTCAGTAAAAAAATTATGCAATCGAGCGTGAATATGGAAAATCCGACCCGCATTTTGCCAGAAAATTCAATAAAACTAAAAAAAAAAAAAAAAAAATAATAATTGGGGGAGGGGTAATTCGTGCTTGCATAATTGAATTAAATAAAAACACGTTATTTTCTTTCAGATTCAACAGAAAAAAAATCTCTATACAGTTTAGAGATTTTTTTCTATATAGCAAGTTTAGAGAAAGATATGAATCATTTTCTTCTTCAGCCCCACCCCCACCCCAGCTATGGTTAAATAGCAGGACAGACCCGGTTCTATAGCCTTGGATAGCAACCGGTCTACCGCTGAAAGAAATGGCAACCTACTGCGGGGAAAATCTGCCTCGTCAGTCATGTATCGAAAGATACATGATCGCCTAAGCGTGTATCACGCATGGCACTGAAGTTTGACTAAACTTGATATATTTATTTTTGAATTACTTTCAGTTTTTCAGTGCAATTTTGAAAATGATCCTGTTCCTCACAAGATTTTTTTTTTTAAATCATGTTTGAAATTTTTTTAAAAGATGTAAAGTTTTAATGTCATTTTCGAGTGTGAACGTTTTTTAAAAGAATTTTATTTTATCTTTTCTTTTTAGCAAGTTAGATTATTTTTGTATGGATGTACAAAAAGAAATAATTCTGATATGTCTCGTATTGAGATTGACTGACTATCGGAGGAATAATTAAATTAAAAACGTTATTATACGTTCCGTTCAGTCCGTACAAAAATAAAATTATTCATTTAAAAAAGTAAGTTTAAAAGCGTATAAAATAGAGAAAAAAAATAAGATTCTTAAACTATTTTTTTTAGTTATATAATGTTAAAGGAAATTTAGTTATTGCCATAACATTCTTGATTATCGTACTGCTAGTCTTCTTTTTTTCCTTTTTTTTTTTTTTTTAACTTTTTACCGCGTAGGAAAAATTCGCTATGAAAGGAAAGAAAACTTTTAAAAGTCGATTGAAAATTGATTTTAGGGCCGTTCTTGAGTGAGTTTAAATAAGTTTTTAAAAAAATCACGGTTTACAGTCCAGATAAAACTTCACTGCAACAATACCAGGGCAGTACTTTAGGGTGTTTGGGGTGGGGGAGGGATTAAGACCCTCCTCCAATATTTTTAAATAAATATTTTTTAAAGTATTTATTTACACTATTGTTTTCAAACAAATAAAATCGAAGTTAAAGATAAGTTCTTGTATTTTCTTTTCAAATTATTATTTTAATTAAAAAAAGTAGTAAATTATAAAGTTTTAAAAAGGAAAAGAAAACAGTTTTTTTTTTTTTATTGAATTATTTTTGCTGAGGTCCGGGATGAATTTTCGGTCTTGATATTGCATTTTTGTTTTGTTTTGTTTTACTGAAGTAATATCTTCAAAGATTTCTCCTTTTCTTTTAGTTTTAATTAAAGAAATTACGCGACCCCATCACCAAATTAAAAAGTACGCACGAAATATTGAAAGAGGGTGTAAAAATACCTCCACAGTATTTCCACAAAACTTTCGAATTTGATAAAATGACCTTCAGTATACAATTATTAATTAATTAAGTATTGTAAATTTCTTTTAAATCAGACAATTCCTTGATTTATTGCCAATTTAAAACGGAGTGGCGATTTTTTTTGCTTTCATCCATTTCGGTGGTATCTGGTAAAAAAGATGTAACAAAATATTTTACTTTACCTTTACGTATTTTTTAAGCATTTCATCCCAAGCAAGTCGAAAGTGCCACTAGTGCGCAATGGTTTAGTGAAGGTAAGAGAAATTACTGGGTTGGGAGGAGATTGAAGAAAGGATAAAAAACAAGAACGGGAATCAAGAGATCAGAAGATAACGATTGACGTTGCATTTAAATTTTTGAAGATTGTAGTTATCAGGGAAGCAAGTAAGAGGAAGAGAGTTCCACTGTCAGGAAACGGGAGAGAAGAAGCTGTTGGAGTAGAAGAGGCGGCTACATTTCATTTAACTGTTACAACAGTAAAAGGATGCCAATCTAGTAGCACGCTTAAATTCATGCAGTCGGGGCAGCAGGGAAAATAGCTCGTCAGAGCAGTTGCCATGAAAATATTTGTAGAAGAGACAGAGGGAAGCCACATCACGTCTATGAGAAGTGACTGGAGCAGAGGTGCCAAGTCAGGACCGATCATATTGAAGATCAGTCTTTGGATTTTGTCGAGAACCTCGAGATGAACAGCGGGGCACCAGAACAATATATGGCAACAGTATTCTATGCATGGATGAAGGGTAGATTTGTAGTTGTGTGGAATGGACTCAGACGAGAAAAACCTTCTGGCACTACACAGAGAACCAACATTCCTTGAGGAAGGTGCAGCTATTGATTCAATGTAGTTGTTCCACCTCAGGTCAGTGGAAAACGTTTGACCGAGAAGGCACAGTGAGACGCTCTCGTGAAGTCGAGCATCAACCATGCTGTAGGAGGGGAGGGAGGTTTCTCTATGTTGGTTAGATGAGAGAAGTTTCGTTTTGGAGGCATTTAAAATTTACAAGCCATTTCCTGCCCCAATCAACCACTGATTGGAGGCCCTTTTCGAGACCAACGGTCAGGTTAATTTTGTGTTGTCAGCATTGTCAGTAAATAAATGGTAGTGTCTGCATAGATTCCTACTTGAGAAGTGATGTCAGGAAGAGCGTTGATGAAGATCAGAAACAGTGTAGGACCCAGGATAAAGCCTTGGGGAATACCAGCGTTCGAATGAAAGGAACTGGAAGAGAGTCCATTCAGGACGATCTTCATTTCACGATTTGATAGGAATTATTGGATTAAATCATATAATCGTCCTGTAAATACCGTAGCCCTGAAACTTATAGAAGGTCAGCATGCCAAACGCCTTCTAGAGCCACAGCTCGAGCTTCACCGTTATTATCAAGAGCTTGGTAATGGTACATATCAGCGGTAGACCGGGCAAACATACAAATTTGATTTGAAAGGAGAAGGAAATATAATTTTTCATTTGCCATTTATGTTGACGAGTTAACAAAAGTGAGTTTATATTTTTTTCACTGAGCATTGATTGATGAAGTGATACGTCAACTGGTTCGTTAAAAATATTTATTTTTAAAAAGTCATTTATTAGTATTCATTGGTGAGTGGTGAATGATTCACCGATCGCGATAAATGAATTAAACAAAGTTTGTTGGGAAAAATCATCAAAGAAAAAAAAGTTCTTCTTATGTTTTTAGTTAAATTAGGAAAATATAGACATCGCTTGTAAGGAAAGCTTGTTATAGAAAAAAATGGTTAAATGAAATTATATTAAATTTAAAAAATGGTTATAATAAAAAATAGTTATACTTATAATAAATAAAATATTAAATTAAAAAATGGGTATAGTAGGACAAACCGGGTTCAATAGCCTTGGATGGCAACTGGTCTACCGCAGAAAGAAATGGCAACCTACTGCGGGAAAAATCTGCCTCGTTAGTCACGTATCGAAAGATACATGATCGCCAAAGTGTGTATCACGCATGGCACATAACTGACTGACATTCCTTATATTGTATTTTTTTAGCGTAAAAAGGAATTTGTTTAGGTTAGTGATCGTAGCTAGCTAAATTAAAGATAGGACAGTTCTCCACCCACCCCTCTTTTTGGTCTTACATTTCTTGTAAGTATACAAGAATTATATTACTTTTTTCTCCCAGGAGTGACATTTCTTTCTCACTCGAGAGAATTCACCACCTGAAGTGAAAATACAGATGACCCGGGATCTACACGTGGTGAGTAAACGAGAAACAAGTAAAAATATATTGTTCCAGCCGACATTATGGCATGTCACAGACAACAGGGAATGCCATGTCCTTACTCCTCTTATTGAAATAGGGAGATGCAGGCTGGTTGGGGAACTGGTCCCTACGAACTACTTTCACATAAAATCTTGATCCAGGTCACTTTTTTTTGTGCGAAAATAAAATTGAATTCTGGTTGTAAGGGAGACAACTGCGTTTTAGTAAGATGGCGGTTCTTTTGGAAACGTCTATTGGAGATTTGGTAATAGATTTGTATACAACTGAAAGGCCTAATAGTAAGTCGAAACCAGTTTTCATCATTTGTTGATTTATTTAATGCATTGCAATAACTCTTTTGTTACACTTTCCATACTTTCCGCTTATTTATGTTGACTTTTTATTTACTTAAAAACTTTGTATTACACCCATGTCGGTAAACCCGCACAAGCTGTTCTTCGTTGAAATCATTTACTTTTTATTAATGTACGAAAAATAACTTTTACAAGTGTGATTTAGTATTTTTTTAACTTCATGATAACGTTCTTTTCTGGTAGCCTGAAGTAGCATTCGTGTGATCAGTTCATTAATTTAAAATACGAATGGGGACGAGAGAAAAAAAAAAGTAAATCTATTAAAGAAAAAAGGTTTCTAATTCATTATCTCCTTGTAACTATATTAGATTTGAAAAAAAGATTTTTGAAGACGAAAAGTTACACTTAAATAAGTTCTACCGCCACAATTAAAAAAAAAAAAAAAAGAAGAAAAAAAACTTTCCCATGATTTTTGTACCAATCAATTAATTTGAACTCTACTGATTCTAGGACCCGTCACTTCAGTTGTTGGTTTAGCCGAAAAAAACTATAGTAGCGAAATTTTAAATTTAATTTAAATACACTTTTTAAATGTTTACTTGATCGATAAGACAAAGAAGAATGTTTATGTTCTGCTGATATCAATCAGCGATAAAGTTTATTTTCAAAGATTCTGGATCAAAAACTCTGGAATATTTCTCAAAAGTCAAAAACATAACTTAAGGAGCTTTTTTTGTGGTTTGTGTCATAATTCAAATTTCAAATGTTTCAAGCTGTTAATCACGTGTAACGTTTTTGTGCTGTTCAGTTAAATTGAAATTCTCAACGTTTTAACTTTTTTAAAAATAAAACTAAATTGGTTTAGAGAACGATGAAAATGGCGAATTACCTCGTCAAACTAAGCGACAGCATGTCGCGTGTATCCTAAAAAGCGTGCATTTATTCTTCTTTATTACAATCCGAATCGTCCACCAATGAAAGAAACTATTTCATAAACAAAAGCGGTTGGCGTTCTGATTAATGAGGAGGCGCGGCCTTTGGGATCGGGCGGGTTTGGGAGTTTGGTTGAACGGTGCAGTCGATTTAAAGCCGTTTACTGGGATTTTTAATATTGGACCTACAATTCATAACTGCAACATTTCTTTCTACCCCCTCCTCGACTTTCGAATTGTTTGCTTTTTGCCTTGAACTTGAGATACCACATCAAATTTCTTACAAACTTTTTCGGCATCATGACGGATCGGACGTTTCACGTCAAGCTGATACCCGAATTTACTGACTCGGTGACCAGACAAGCAGTTACTGAATGAATTGAAAAAGCAGAACTGTGTGGAATCAAGAAGGTTGAACATGCTCTTCCCTTGAGATTGCCTGGTAGGGCATTTGCTATCTACCAGCTGTACAGAGCAAAAAGCAGATGCTGAACAGATAAAATGAGCCCTCTGGTTTGCTTTTTGTCGAATTGTTTATTAGCCTATGAGCAGTTCATGGAGGATGAGTCTGTTGACGTGTTTCTAGCCGATTTGAAGAAGCTAGAAGGACTATTTGTTGAGATATCCGAGCAAGGACTAGCATGTGCATTCATAGCAGGTTTACCAGCACACGTTAATCAACCACTGTGCAGATTGAAAATATGACTACAAGTCAACTGTTTGACCGAGCTCAGGTCATAATGAAGGATCAGACACTGATTGAGGAAATGGCTGTGGCTAGCATTTCACCAGTCAGAGTGGCAGCTGATACCCTTCCAAATGTTAAACATTGGGAGGGTATGTGATGCTATTAATGCTCTGGATGGAATCACATTTCCAAAGACTGGCCTCTTACACAAGAAGATGCACATGCCCGTCAGCCATGCAGGACACACACAACAATGCATTGCTTCTGGTGTCATGGATTAGGCCACATTGCTTCACTGTGTCTAGGAAAAAGATGAAGGGGACAAGATGTCAGCCCCAGTCTGTTCCCTAAGTGAGTTGTGAATGAGGCACTACCTGTTTTAGACATTCAAGTGAATGGAATCAAGAGAGTGGCACTGGTGGGCACAGGCTGCTCATCAGCCTGTCAATGCTGGCAAGAGATGGCGGTGGACGTACTCACTATAAATGGTAACACCCTTAAATGGAGTGGAGTTGGAAGCATCAAGCTTGATGTGGATTATACAACCCCACTCAATGTCAAGGTCTTGGTAGTGGATGGAGAGCTATTGGATTTTGACTCTGTTAAAAAAGTGGGTCAACTCCAAATAATGGAGTGTGGCAATGTATGATTTCCCAAGTGTAGGATGGCTTGTTGCGCCACCATTAAAAAGAACCCGATTTCTTTGTCGAATTCAACCCAAAGAAGATATGGGTTGCATCATGGAAGTGGTCAGGTGGTCAATCACTGGAGAATTTGCAAAACAGGATGCATGAGTACCCAGTATCAAAAGGTGTCAAGGAAGGATATGACCATGAGCTGCAGATCTGGCTTGATAACGGTTGGTTGCAGCCTTATCCTGAAAAGGAACTTGGTCCTTCAAAAGGTTTAATTTTATTGATAGCAGTGGTGCAGTAAAACAAAAGTAAAGTGTGGCCAGTATTAGACTATCAGGAACTGAATGAGTGCTTAGACATACACACAGTCAATGCTGATGTGTGTGCACAGAAACTGAGGAAGTGGTGCCAAGAAGAACCTGATGTCGCTATCCTTGATATATGGCAGGCCTATCTACAAGTGTATAGCCACAAATCACTTTGGTCACTTTGTTCTTCAAGGATCAAAGATATTGCTTGACTCAAATGAGTTTCAAGTTGAATGTTGCACCAGCCATAACAAAGACCATTTTGGATGCCACGTTATCAAAAAACAAGTCAGTGCAATGGGCAACCTCATCAAATATTGATATTTACATTGATGAGAACAAGATTCAGCAGATTGTGTGAAAGAGTACTCGACTGCTTTTGGTCTGATCGGCAAGGATCCTGAGCAGTTATGGGACAGCACTTGTGTTCTGGGTCTGCATGTCAAGCAGGAGTAAGACTCATTTAAGTGGTGGCGTGGAAATGACATTCCATCAGTTCCTGAGGTCCTGATGCAATGCAACATCTTCTTGTGGTGTAGAAAGCTGGTGGGTCATGTTCCTGAGTGTGGTTGGCTCCGTGTTCCTGCATCATTTGCTAAATGCAGAACAATGTCGATCATGTCTAGCTGGAATGATGAGGTGACAGATGCTCCTTGAAGAACATGATTGAGGGCATAGTGGCAAGAATACACCAGAATGACACTGCACACAGCAATTGGTGCACAATCACACTTATGACGTGTGTTGATACAAGTTTTCTTGCCACAGGGGTTTAATTAGAGGTTGACTGAAACATTGTAGAAAATGCATGTTGACTGCAACCTGTGAATGACACACAACATATCAATTATCAGAATTGGATGCTATCCTGAAGGGCATTAATTTAGCACTACAATGGGATGCACAGACTCAGCATGTGTGCACCAGTGGGTATTGGACATGCTCACCGGCAAAGCCAGAATATGAACTAAAGTGGCAAATGCGATGCTGATCTGGAGGCATTTGAGTACTCTTGAAAAGCTGGTTCAAGAGTATAAGTTATTGATTACCATAAGTTCAGTGACGTTAAATCAGAATCTAGTGGATAAGCTCACAAGAGTACCACAATGATAGTATGGTGTGATCAAGAACAAGTTTGAACCAGCACAACCTATATGTGCTTCCATGGTGAACGAAACCTCTCTGGACCAGATAAGTGCCATACATTGCCAGAGTGGACATCCTGGCATCAGGCAGACACTGTATTTTGTGAGACTAGTTCATCCTATGATGTCCAAGGCAACTGTCGGGGCATTGGTCAGAAAATGTAAAGAATGCTAGTGAATTGACCCAGTCTCAAGTTGTTGGCCATGAAGCAACTTGAGTGTGACTGGAATCTGGACCTGCTTGGGAATGGATATTACTCATTATGGTGGACAACACTACCTTACATTGATTGACTGTGGCCCAAGTTGATTTGCGATATAGCAGTGTCTGCTTCCACGAGACTTAAGTGTCATTTGACAGTCAGAAACTTTTTTTTTTTTTTGAATGAGGCCCACAATCGGAAATCCTAACCAACAATGATACTGCATTTCAAAATAAGTCCTTTAAAGATTTCTTAGATGACTGGGGAGTCCGACTTTGTTTTCGCATATGTGCCTGCAAAAAACGACACAGTAGAAAGATCTCATCAGATCATAAAGAGAATTGCAGCAAGAAACAGTGTTCAATAATGGAGGCAGTGTAATGGCATAATATCACACCAAAGAATGACGCATTGTCCACTACTGTCCCTGCCAATATGAGTCACTGTTACCATCTTAGAGTGAAGAGAATTACAACATTACACCCTCATGGCCAGTGTACCTCCAGGTATCAAGTAGGTCACATGACAGACATTGTAAGTCAATAAGCAATAATAGTTGACAGGATGCCTCAGCATGTAAAAGATCTTTGCCTATTTCATAGACTTATCTGATACTGATTGGGTAATTGAGATCTGTGAATCTGATGTTTCCCCAGACACGGAGGTTCCGAAAATTCTGGATACACCTGATGACTCTTTGGGAGACAACTCTCCGACACATGTAATGGAGATGGTCCCATTATGATGAAGCACCAGGGTAAAGAGATCCATTCCAGGCTGTCTGATTTGTGATCATGAGATCAGCGGGAAGTGTAGCAAAAAAAAAATGGGTACTGGGCAGGTATTAATCAATAGAGAGCTATATAACACCAGCTTTTTCTCAGTTGTGAGGGACGCTCTCAGTGTGCAGAAAACCAGACAAGACGAACACAAGCTATTTTGGTCCACTTCCATGATGCTGTCCACACTTTCTTTTCCTGATCAAACTCAATACTAAAGTCCGGTTCCTCTATGGTGAGAATTGCACATAGGGATGGTTTTCTATTGAACACATATTAATGCTTCCCTTTTAAGGTGTTTCACTTTGATTCCCTGATGTTCCAAGGCTTCATATTTGTTCTTAACTATGACTGCATTTGTTTCTTTGCAAATGGAATTGCTTTGGTGTTTGTTATATTGCAGTTTAGGTATTTTGGGTTATGTGGCTTGTGGAATTCCAGACTAGTTTGTTGTGTTCACTTTCATACAAAAGCTCTTTGGAAAGGCGGCCCTAATCCATCTTCTCTTCTATTAACTATGGGTTAATTAGCAGAGCAAACTGAGTTCTCTAGACTTCAGTAGCAACCAGTCGAGGAGAGGACAACTCTGAATTCAAAACCATCCAGAAGAGGGATGATCTCCATCAGACACATCGACTATGACAACAATACACATGGTGTACCTATGACCCGAGTGGGTTCCAGTGATTGTGCACAGAAATTTGGTTTTGTAGTTTTTATTTTTAGTTTGTATATAACTGAGAAGTCAGTTTTTATGGTCAGCATTTGGGTCTGTTTTAGCATGCAAAACTATTTTTAAAAAATGAAATAAAAGGATCAAAGAGAATGGCAGAATAACTACAGATTTATGACCAATTTGGTTATCAAGCTTTTGTGATTAAAGTAGTTATGACAACATTCAACAAAGACAAGCTCCAGAGTGGTGGGATGCAAGTTCAAATCTAGTTAGAAGCTACTTCTTTATTTCCCATTTGGTGTGACTTCCTTTTTTATTTTTTTTTTGATCTGGAATTTTTTGATAAAAAGCAACAATTAGTTGAACAATAAATAAATTAATGTCAATGTTACTTGTATATTATTATGTTAATTTCTATATATATTTAATGATTATTTTTTTAATTATTTTCTTCTACAATGATATACTATGACTATATACTTTTCAATATATTTCTAAGTTAAATTACAGATTTTAAGTAGTAAAAGTTTTAAAATAATTAACTACTTGTGCCTTATTCATACAACTTTTTCATTTAACAATTTCTTTAAAATTTCAGCTTGTCTAAATTTCCTGAAATTATGCAAGACCAAGTATTACAATTTCTGCTTGTTTCACTCCGTGCAGGTAAGCAAAGTAAAATTGTTATTGAGGATAATGTACAGGTAGCTAAATCAACTTGTATATAAAACATACATAAAATACAATGTATTACATATAAATATATATGTGTGGGATAACGATATATAATTTTTTGTATATCAAGAACATGTTTTATCTCTTAGGATTTAATTGGGTTAGGTTTGTTTATATGACTATGCATGTGCATAATGAGAGGCACTGGGGATTTTAAATTTAAAAAAAAAATCATTTTTTTAATTTTTTTTTATTTGTTTTGGGTATATCATCTAGCCAATTTCATTTAGATTTTTTTTCTTTTGTTTCCATCATCTTTGTTATTAAATATCCCACATTGTGATAACAGAAGATTTGCTAATAATGAGTGATATCCATGCTGAGAGGGTGCCAAGTAATGTTCATTTCCAGTCTACCCTTTTTCTAATGGACTGGCACAGGATCTCTTGATGTGCACTCCACACAGGTCCCAATGACTGATTTTACCATGGCCTTTGTCACAGAAGGACAAACTCTTCACACAAAATGTATTACACAATACTCCTGAATGCCCACTGTATTGATGTACTTCCATTATCTGATTAATGGTGTTGAGGGAAGAAGCACACACCTGCTGCATAGGTTCAGCTCCCTTTTTGGCTATATTGAGCCACCTTTGAGGTACACAGGTCATCTTGTTTGCCAAGTTCTGGTTTGACGTAACCAGCATCATGTCAACAGACAACTTATATTCTTTGACCATTTTCTTCATTGTGCTCAACCTTCTACACACCAGGAGCGAGTGAGATGCTTTGATAAATTCACTAGCTTCGCCCGTGAGGGTGTCAGATAACCAGTGGTACACACAAGGAATCAGTTTTTATGTATAGACTCTTTCCTTGCTGGAGAGCCAAATTGAGGCCTTTGAATGCAGCATCCAGTTCAACCAAGTTGATATGTTGGGCATTGTTTGTTGGCTGAAGCCAACATGCATCTTCCAACGTTGCTCCATCTTTTTCCAGCAGCACTCATGTCTCTAGGGAGCTTGCATTGACCCATACATTAATTTCAGATCCGTTTACACATCAGTCATCCCAGGCAGGATCTTTCTGTTGCACTCTGTCCATGGTTTCCCTCTGAAAGTTTTCCACTGACTTAACCAGATATTAACTCACAACTCTTTGGGTCCTGTCACTGGATCTAACTAACGCCTTTATCCACTGTGCCACTGTTTCCTTGAGGGAAATTAACAGGAGATAACTGATAACTGACATCCATATATATATATATATATATATATATATATATATATATATATATATATATATAATGTGTGTGTACACTGAGGTCAACACCAAGTGTTGAAAATGTCAAAGCATTAAACAGATTGCCACTGCTTTTTGTGTTCCACTTTTATATTTATATATGCTCTATCTCTGATATTGACCTCTTGTGCTCTTAATATCAGTCAGTTATGTTCGATGCATGATACATGCTTAGGCGATCATGTATCTTTCGGTACATGACTGACAAGGCAGATTTTTTTCCAGCTGTAGGGTGCTATTACTTTCTGCAGTAGACCAATTGCTATCCAAGGCTATAGAACCTGGTCTGTCCTGCTATTTACCCATAGCTGGGGTGGGGGAGGGGGTGTGTGAGGATTCATACCTTTCCCAAGGGTATTAGCACGTAAGTGAATGCATTAGATTCGACTGGAATTTGAACTTGACTCTCTGATTCTTCAATCCAAGCTGCTATCCATCAATCTACAGTGTTTCCTCCTTAAAAATATAGCATACTTTAAAACTATTTTTTTATTGTGTGTGTGTCTGTGCAAATTGAAAATATGGTTTAAATCCAAGAAGATGCTTAAATAACATTTTTCTTATGAAGCTAAATAATGAGCAAAACATATCAAATCCGTAAAGGTTTCTCTACTTGTTCCATATGTAATCATATATACACATATATAAAACATTTCTCAGAGCACCTAAATGCCCTTATCCAAAACAGCAATGTAGATCTGAACATAAAGAATCATATCATTTTTGATGGGTACCAAGCTAGTAAACAAAATTAATAGTACAATCAAGTATTACATTTTCTGTTTTTCATTCTGTGTAGGTTAAAAGTAAGGTTTTACACATTACTAAGTAAATAAAAAGACTGCATGAACATAAGTGTTTTCACACCTTTGAAGTTATTTTATTTCTTTTCTCAATATTGATGTGGTAAATTCATTTAATATAAAAGCTAAATGTAACATTTCTTCAAATTTTTATGACATTTTAATAAGACCATAGAACTTAAAAGAAAGGTAAAAGATTTTGAAGATTAGGATAAACTCATAGAATCACTTTTTTATATACAAAGAATATTCTGATTAAAGATTTATTGCAATAAATAAATTTATTAAAATGTATATTTGTATAATTTATCCATACATAAATAATCCTGTCATTTTTCTCCAGATGCAATGTTAGTACAAAAAATGAAACAACTTATTAATTGCATACACAGTCTGATTAAATTTTATTATCAGATTTATTTGTGTATATTTTGATTTCATCCATATTTTTTTCTTTCTTTTTTAATTGTTTGTATGTTATTTCTTTAGAGGAACCTTGTGGCACAGACTGGGGATCCTACTGGCACTGGACGAGGTGGAGAATGTATCTTCAGGTAAATAGTTTTAATTTTCTGTCTGAATTTTAGAGATGAGAAATCATTTTACATTAATTTATTTGAACTAGTTTACTCATCTTAGTTACTATAAGAACAACATTTTGGGCCATTGTATTCACCAGGCTTCTTCTACATGTCTGTTTGGCAAATATCTAGAAATTTTGGGCCAAAACTCATTACTCAGTCCCTGGAAATAGTGTTTTCAGTCTGCTAGCCATATCACGGGAGATAACTCATCCATTTCCTGCTAATTCAATCAGTGAACTTCTTTTATTATTTTTACGTTGATGTTCACTCTGTACAAGGCCCAAGAGCCACTCGAGGTAGGGTTACAGAATAAGGGGCTTAATATCATGATATGGCTAGCAGACTGAAAACATAAAGCTTAATAGGAGTAGATAGATTTGCCTATTGTCCAGTTAACTCCTCCCCAGTCTTTTGAACAAGAGTAGAGGTTTACCATTTGTTTCCTGTTTAGGAATGGGTTTCCAGTTCCTTCTAAAATATTTTCCTTCTCTTTCATCTCCAGTGGCCCTTT